CTTAAGAGTGCTTAAAAGTTTTTTTTACTAAATCTGCATGCTGCACAATTTGTATCAAATCCGAGTTCAAAGTGCATTGTGATTCCATTATCAGGTCAATCAGCTGTACATTCACAGAATCATAATTTAATTCATCAGCAAAGTGGTGTGAGGTAGAGTTGCTGCTCAGGACGGTGGGAGGACAGCCATGATCTGAGGAACTCATCAGTACAAGTGCAGGAGCAGCGGAGGAGAATGTGACGTGATCACGCCGAGTCCGGTTTTCCCTCTTGCGTCTCCTCGTCTTTAGCAGATGATTCTTCTTTACTGTCTAAATCAAAGTTCTGTAAGAAAGCATGAATAAAATCAATCAGTTACTGTATCATGAAGAGTAAGCATTCACCTTCAAACACACACAAACGCTCACACAAGAGATGCTCACACACCTCTAGCTCCCTCATGACTTCATCCATAAAGTCGTTGGAGTTCCTCTTGTAGGACAGAGCCATCTGAATGGCATCTTTAAACACCTGTGGAACATTTACACAACATTAGAACTTCACACAGTTCTTTCAACCCGAAAACACACATCTAAATATTTTTTATTCGTTTCTGGGAATTAAAAACCACACTTGACAAAAAATAAATAAATTGTATGTGTTTCTAGCCTCCAGTCCTGTCAGCTTAGTATTTAGTTTCATAAAACTGAACAGGAATATATTTTAAATTGTTCATATGCGATGACATAAATGACAATGTAAAGGAAAAAAAAATTGACTTGAGTATGGAATTTAAGGCAATTAAAACTTATTTTTAACATAAAAATTGCAAAACCAGAACACAATTGGTTTACATAGTCAAAGACACCTTAACTGGGGAATTTACGGACTGTCAGATGAAAACACATTTTATATGAAAAATATAGCAAAATAAAATATAGGGTTACTGAATCAGGGATACTCTGTTTTCCATCCTCACCTTGACCACATTGGTCCCATCAGCAGCAGATACAAAGTAGAAGGGCAGACCTTGTTTCTTAGCGAAGCTGAAATTCTTCTGGGTGACCTTCATGTCAGCTTTTGAAGAGCAGAACACATGAAAGAACAAAAGATAAGAGACATGCAGAGCGTAACACTGGCTAATGCCGCTCTTATCTGGAATCTCACAAGCCAAATTTACCATCGATCTTGTTAGCGACCACCAGACAGGGAATCTCTGGCCGGTACTCTCGCAGTTCTTTGTACCAAATTGGGAGGTTCTTATATGTGATTTTCCTCTGGACATCAAACACCTGGCAAAAGCAATCTGATTAATTCTGAAAGCTTTTTGAGATGTACGGTTTATGAAAAGCCTTAAACCTTTAACACAAAACAAATGTCAAAAGAGGAGCTGTCTGTCTGTCTGTGTGTCTGTGTGTGTGTGTACCTGGTATTTATCACGTTATGGGGACCAAATGTCCCCACAAGGATAGTAATACTAGTAAATTTTGACCTTGTGGGGACATTTTTGAGGTCCCCATGAGGAAACAAGCTTATAAATCATACAGAATGAGTTTTTTGAGAAAGTAAAAATGCACAAAGTTTCCTGTAAGGGCTAGGTTTAGGGGTAGGGTTGGTGTAGGACAATAGCACATACAGTTTGTACAGTATAAAAACCATTACGCCTATGGAATGTCCCCATAAAACATGGAAACACAACATGTGTGTGTGTGTGTGTGTGTGTGTGTGTGGTTAAAATAGTCATGAATCTGCCACTACAACAGCATACGAATAAAGATTTTTTTCTATGATTCTAGTGGTTTCAGTTCAGCTATTGTTAACTAAATCTATTAAAATCTAATATATCTCTTAAAATATTGTTTTTGTTGACTGAAAATGTAAATATCAGATGAAAAATTTAAATCTTAAATAAAATAAAAAATTAAATAAACAAAAATAAAATAGATGTATTAAAACTACTAAAAATATATTTTTTTAAATAAATGATGACAGAAAACATGACTCAAATTTAAACTAAAATAAAACAGATAAAATATAATCTTATTCAAAATATTAAAGGAATAGTTCACCCAAAATTGAATATTTACTCACCCTCAAACCATCCAAGATGAATGTTTGTTTCTTCATCGGAACAGGTTTGGAGAAACTTTACATTACATTACAGATTTGAGCAAACTCTTTACTTTACATGAAACATTACATCACTTGCTCACCAATGGATTCTCTGCAGGAAGTGTTATTATGGATTATGGACTCATTTTGTCCAGAAGCAACAGTTTAAAGTTAAAACAACTTGATGGATTTGTTTCTCACAAACACACAACTTTTCACTTCACAAGATGTTAACTGATGGACCGGAGTCATGTGGATTATTGTGATATTTTTATCAGCTGTTTGGACTCTCATTCTGACGGCACCCATTCACTGCAGAGGATCCATTGGTGAGTAAGTGATGTAATGCTCAATTTCTCCAAATCTGTTCTGATGAAGAAACAAACTCATCTACATCTTGAATGGCATGAGGGTGATAATATCATAATAGTAACATACTAAAATAAGACAGAGTGGTTTGTGACCGACCATCTCTTACCATGATACAGGCATGAGCTTTATGGTAGTAAGACGGGTGCATGCTTCGAAAGCACTCCTGTCCTGCAGTATCCCAGAAATCTGTATGCAGATAAACAGCTTCAGTTGGCATCAAAGCCAATACAGCCAATTGTTAAATTATCACGCACTAAAATAACAGCTTCCATGCCAAACTTACCAACCAGGACAGTCTGCCCATTGATGGTGGTGGTGTATTTGTAGAGAGTCAGAGCGTATGTGGAGAGCTGCTGAGGACGACTGACACATTACATTAAGAACCTGACAACTCTCAGAATGAACCATACAGACAGAGATATCATACTGACATCAAACAACCAAGTCAAAGGATACTATCCATCCATAAGGAATCTCTCCATAAGCCTGAAAAGAAATCATCAAAGCCCTTAGAAAAGAAAAAACGCAAACGGCTTGTCCATAAAGGAGAGCAGTAAACATACTTGGATTTGCCCACAGCGCTGTCTCCGAGGCAGATGATCTTGACCTGCTCATCCGCGTCATATTTGTCCAGGTCCAGATCAGAAATGCCTCCTGCGTCCATCGCGAGAGAGAGAGAGAGCAGCAGGAGTTTAAACACTGAGCCTCTTAACGCCGCGGGATTAGATGATCATGACAGCCGCTGCTGCTTTACTCCATCACACGAACAGCTCATTTAGTTCATCTTTGCGAGCAATAAACCGTATATTCCCGAAGATAAGTAACGTCCGAATCTCGCTTTGGCTAGCTGGCTAATTAGCAGATTAGCGTGTTTGGAACCTAAACTATCTAAATCACTATTTACGGCAGAATATTGCCTTACAATCCCAGGAAGATATATTTAAGGCTCGTCGACAGATTGTTTGCATTCACGGCTGGATTATAGACGAGAAAAATATCGCTATTTTGTGAAGAAAATTCTCGGTTTGGTTCCAGAAGATTCACTGAACATGTACGACAACAACGCGTCTCTAAGCAACGCTAGGACCCAAAAAGGGCCTCCTGGTAAACGCCGAGCTGTCTTTGAAGGTGCCTGTTTCATTTCGATGTCGCTTTTTAATTTTAAAGTGCTTTATTCTAATGATTGTTCTAAACGTAATACAACTAAAGTGGCATAAATGAAATACTGGTATTACTACTACTAATAATAATAATAATAAAAAATACATTATGAAATGGGATAATAAAGAATAAATTAAATTAAGCAATAACTTCTTCATTCTAATGTGCTTATTTTGACGTGATAATAATTTTAAACATTATTTTTCAAAATTATCATTCATTTCTGTAGGAGTAAACTTTGACCTATATTTATGCTTTCCAGGAAACAAATCCAAGAAATAATACCTAGAATGTTTTCTTTGTGTTTGACAAATTGCCTGTCAGTAATATCAAACACAATAATCTTACTTTTTTAAGTGTGAGAAAGCAGTATGTTACAGAATGTTGTCTTGGTCACATTCTTGACATATATAGAAATACATAGAACAGAACAGAAAAACTGTTATATATAGATCTGCTTCTTAGATAGAAAAGTCTTTTTTTTCTTTCCCACAGAGGTCAGTGAGTACATGATTAAAATTAAAAGGCTAAAGAACACAATGAATTCAGTTGGTTCCCACAAGGATAAATGCATCCTTGGCATCAAAACAAATTCCCTTAACCATAATTAGTTAACAAGACTAAACTAAATTACGCCAAATAAATAAAGCCAAATAGAAATATTAGATTAAAAAATATATAACTTTAACTGAAATAAATAAGTTGGAGTAGCCTCACATTACATTTTTAAAACTTACTAAAACTTATTAAAATTACTAAAACTAAAACTGAAATTAAAGTAAATCAGAGTTATACATAAATACAAAAATGAAAATGAATATAAAATATATATTATTCATAATATTTATATAAATATAAAAAGTAATTAAAATGACAAGAAAAATACAGAATTTAAACAAAAATAAAAAAAAACTTAAATATATATATATATATATATATATATAATTAATTAATAGAATATAAATGATACTAAAATAAGAGATACTGTATATGGTAAAGACAGAAACTGAGTTAAAATATTCTTACCACCACACTGTTTTTACATATTTTGTATCCAACTTACCATACATTGTACAGGTTTATTACCTTGAAGAAATTCATATTTATTTTACAAAATATTCTAATAAATGAATAATGATTTGTTATTATTTTTTGACACCAGCACCAAGTGAAATTGTACTTTTTTTTACTTGGTGAATGAAGTTAAAGTATAATAATTATTGAAATTAATAGGGTGTTACTTTAGAAAATAGAACAACTAATAGAACAATAGATGGTTCTGCTGAAAGGCTGTCTTTGCTCTCATAAGCTCCACCCTGGTTCGCAGTTGCGAGACACTCTTGTGCTCTTTGACAGCTGGACCAGACACACACAGAGAGAGAGTCAGAGAAACACAACTAGCTAAAACATTCAATTGCGTAGGTGGCAAAATGGCCTGCAGACTGTCCATTACAGAGGAGCATTTCTACTGCCCCATCTGCTGTGACATCTTCAGGGATCCCGTACTCCTACCCTGCTCTCACAGCATCTGTAACAGCTGCGTGAAAACCTTCTGGAACCGGCGAGGAACTCAAGAGTGTCCTATCTGCAGAACTGTGTCCTCCAACCCTAACCCACCTATAAACATTGTGCTGAGAAACATGTGTGATCTGATGAGAGAAGAAACAACTCAGGAGCCTCCCGTAGAGACTGTGGAGTTCTGTAGTCTTCATGGAGAACCTCTTACTTTCTTCTGCACTGAAGAACAAGAACTAGCTTGTGGGAAATGCAGAAATGACAAATCACATAAGAACCACCGCATCCATTCAACAGCAGACCTCAGGGTAAGAGCTCAGAGCGTCAGATTGTATGGAAACACGATTTTTTAACAATAGTCAGTTGCTGAAATGACCAGCTTGTGGACTCTAGTCAGATTTCACTGATTGTCGGTTTCAGATTTAATGGATATGAAAACTGTCTTGTCAAACAGGTCTTAGCACACTAATCACCCTTATATGACACACATTCTCAGGCTTACAGAAACAAAAGTTTCATGGGAACTTGCTGATCAATGCTGATCCATTTGTGGATATGCCGGTTTGTAACAAACAACCTGTTTAACATCAGTAAAATCCAAAAGCTGGGAAAATCATCATGCTAAAACATCTGATATATATATATACTGTATATATATATATATATATATATATATATTATAAGTCCTGGGATGAAACAGCAGAGTATATTAAGGTGAGTACCGGGAGGAGATTTCAACATTGACACAGTTTAACTACCATATGGATATTTCAGCCAGAATTTGCTGATATTTTTTGTTTAGAAGCAGAGCCAACACACTGAGACTAAAATTAAGGAGGCGTTTGAAAAGCTTCACCAGTTTCTGGAAAATGAAGAGGCAGCCAAGATGATGACGCTGAGGAAAGAAGAAGAGCAGAAGAGTGAGATAATTAAAAAGAAGATTGAGGAGATTAGATCAGGGATGTTATCTCTCTCACGCATTATTCAGTCCATCGAAGAACAGCTAAAAAGGAATGACTTCACATTTCTTGTGGTAAGAAGCACTTGGTTTGGTTTCTGGACTTTGAATGTTTAAATTATGTTTTATGATGTTTTATTTCAAAAGATCAAAGAAAAATGCATATTTTTCCATTATATTGAGTAGAAATTGCAGAATGTAATTTTAAAAAATCAGCAAGGATGCTTTAAACTGATCAAAATTAAAGACATTTATAATATCCCAAAAAGTTTCCATTTCCAATAAATGCTGTTCTTTTAAACTTTCTATTAATTTCTATTTCTATTTTTAAAAATCCCACAAAATATGAAGCAGCACAACTGTTTTCAACATTGATGATAATAAGTATTGTTTCTTGAGCAGCAAATCAGCCTATTAAAATGATTTCTGAAGGATGACACGATTACATTTGAAAATGTATTAAAATAGAAAACAATTTTAAATTGTAATAATATTTCATAATATTACTGTTTTATTATATTTTTGGCCAAATAAATGCAGCTTTGGTAGATTTTCTGATCACATAATAAAGATTAATCTTTCTGTTTTTATCAATATTATTTCTAGAACTACAAGGCTACAATTGAAAGGTGAGAAGGTTTTTTTTTTTCTTTAACTTCTGGTTTTCAAACCCACATCAGTACTGACTAAATGTTGTTTCAGAACAAAGTGTAAAATGCGGGATCATACCAGACCTTCAGGAATGCTCATCAATGTAGCAAAACATGTGGGTAACATAACCTTTGAAGTATCGAAGAAACTACAAGCCAACGTCCGATACAGTGAGTACTGAGCAGATCAAATAAATCTTCTCAATCTTCTCACACAGAGATGCAGCAGAATGGAAAAAACACACGGTCTAGAGATGCATTTTAAAAGTTGGGAGCCATTCACACAGAACGTGTTTTTGCTTTGAAAAACTCCAGACACAGAATGTGTCAGAATGCGAGATGTAAACTTTGAAAAAAAGTCATAATTGTAAGACATAAACTTGCAATTGCAAGAAAAAAAGTCAGAAATGTGAGATAAAATGTCACATGGAACACATGGACACATGGAAATCTGAGAAAAAAAGTCAGAAATGTGAGATAAAATGTCAAAATTACCTTTTTTTTTATTTTTTATTAATGGCAGAAAAAAAAGAATTGTGAGATGTAAACTCAGAATTCTGAGAAGAAGAAGTCAGAATTGGAGATATAAACTCAAAATTGTGTTATACATATGGAAATCTGAGAAAAAAAAGTCAGAATTGCAAGCTTTTATCTTGCTTGTCTGAAAAGGAAAACCCAGAATTGTAAAATATAAACTCAATTTTGAGATATACAGTAAAGAATTCAGAGGGGGAAAAAAGAAAAAAAAGTCAGAATTGTGACATGGAAACAGAATTGAGGGGAACAAGTGAGAATTGCAAGATTTTAAGTCATAATTCTGAGTTTTGACTTTTGGATTGGGAGTTTATTCTGAGTTTGTATCTCAGAATGTCAAAAAAAGAAAGAAAAGAAAAACAAGAAAAGTCAAAAGTGTGAGATATAAAGTAACAATTTTTTTTATTCTATGGCAGAAATGGGCTTCCATAGTTCTAAAAATGCAGCACTCAAGATTAAAGAAGTTTAAGACTTTGCTTTTCCCCCCATTCCACTGCCAGTGTCTTGCATTTCTCAAAGCAAAATACTTTGTGTGTGAATGTCTTAAAAGTGAGTACATCTCTATCTCTTTCCCTCCAGCCCCAGTAACCTTTGACCCCAACACCGCCCATCCTTATCTGCTCGTGTCGGATGATCTGACCAGTATAACTTACACTGACGAGCATTTCCAACAGCTTCCAGCAAACCCAGAGAGATTCGACGGCTACACAAGCATTCTAGGTTCTGAGGGCTTTAACTCGGGGACTCACTGCTGGGACATCGAGGTGGGCGACAGCACAGCCTGGGCCGTGGGAGTGATCACAGAGTCCGCATACAAACACAGACAGACCCCCTCCAAAACGGGCCTGTGGTATGTGGGCTTCTGCAATGGTAAATACGGGAAGGGCTATTCTCCAGAGATCCTCGCCCTTCTACGGGTCACCCAGAGAATTCAGAGGATCAGGGTGCAGCTGGACTGGGACAAGGGCAAAGTCACATTCACCGACTCGGCTCGTAATATCGGTCTGCATGTGTTTAAACACACGTTCACTGAGAGAGTGTTCCCTTACTTTTATAGTCACTGTATGAAACATCCAATGAGGATCATACCGGTAAAGACAGCTGTGGAAGCACACGTTTAGAGCCAATACAACTTTTAAACTGGTGAAGTTAAGCAGTTAAAGGTTAACTGTGATATCAATAATACAACAATATAAAATCATCTTAAGAAGACAGTAGCAAGTACAGTACTGCAATAAAACATTACTGCATGATGATAATGATTTGTTTTTGCTGCCTATCTTTTGGAACAACCTCTGTGTATGGATTGTAGAGTTGGGGTATTTGGACTCAGACTGCAATTATGAATGAAGACGGACTCGAACTTCTAAGGATTTGGACTTGACTCGGACTCGACAAGGTGGAATCAGACCCAGCACTGGTAGGTTGTGTCTGTGATGTGCTAAAATGCTAGTCTAGGTAGACTTGGTTCACTTGGTTTTGGAATGGAGCTTATTTCTTATATTGTGGCAACAGCACAATTATTGCATTTTGAAGCCTTTTTTACTGAAACACCATTATTTCAAGTTGTATGTTTAGCAATATTAAGACCTGATACGACAGACTGGCTTGTTTAACAGAATTGACCTGTTTAATCAGCCCCATCCACAATTAAAGGAGCGGTGTACTCAGAATGACGAATTCCAAAGGAAAAGCTGGGAGCTTTGATTCCTGTGAAAGTAACCTGTGAAGAAAGACAAAGGGAACCATTTTAGTACAAATTCTTGTTATTTAAATAGTTTTAGTAGAGAGCATTCCAAAGCTAGAAACTACAGTTTAGAAGGTTGGAGTAGGTAAGATTTTTTGATGTTTTTGATAAATAAAAGTCTCTTATGTTCACCATAGATTAAAAAAATACAGTAAAAACAGTAATATTGTGAAATAATAATACAGTTCAAAAGAACTGTTTTCTATTTGAATATATTTTAAAATGTAATTTATTCCTGTGATGACAAATCTGAATTTTCAGCATTATTACTCCAATATTCAGTGTCACACACTGTAAAAAGTAAATCCGTAAAATAACAGAAAAAGTACTGGCAGCTCATTACACATTACTTTTATGGACATTTCTGTTAACTCTAAAACACAATGCAATGACGTGTGAAATTCAAAATACTGGTAAAACACCTGTAAAAAATAAATACGGAAAAAATCCTTCAAATTATACAGTATATTGTGCCCTGATTTTACAGATTTTTTAGAGTGCATGATCTTTCAGAAATCATTCTAATATGCTGATTTGCGTCTCAAGAAACATTTCTTATTATTATCAATGTTGAAAACAGTCATATATTGTGGATTCCATGATACATTTTTTCAAGATTCTTTGATTAATAGAAAGTTCAAAAGAACAGCATTTATTGGAAACAAAGTCATTTATAATAATGTTATAAATGCATACTGTAGTATAGTAGTATAAAATGGTATTGTATATGTTAGCCTGGTACAGACCCTTTCTGGATGGTGGGCTCCAGGTCCTGGTTTCTTTGTAGTGTCTCCAGGTGAGAAGTTGCGTCCGGTCATGCTGTACTCAGGGGCCTTGTGTTTGTACACACCTGAATTCACCACTTGGTAGGTCCCTGGGCCTGGAGTCTGAGAAAATGAATGTTATCATCTTTGCAAAGTAGAGGTAAATACTGTAAAATGATGTGTCCGTACCTTCCGTAGATCTTCATAGAAGCTGCCGATTGCACTACGACCGCCGAAGAAGACATTTGGGGCAGATGCTTTATTCACAACTCTTGGCCCTAATACTGGGGGAAGCATGTATGCAGCTGGACCTGGAGACAAGTTAATGCATGAAATTCACAGGAAATGCATCTGTTCCAGTAGTGTTGCTGTGTAGATGTGTGGAAATCTACCTGGTGTTTGGTCATTACGAAACAATTTAGTCCTTGCAGACAGAGAGAACGCAGGGGCAGAGTAAAAGGTAGTTTTTATTGCGTTTTCAGGGGAGTAACTGCCTGAAAAGAAAAATCAAAAGCCAGTTTAATCTGTTCTACACTCACAGAGAAAAGGTACAATGCTGTCACTGGGCTGTTCTAAGGTTCTTTTTACCCCTAAATGCTACATATTAATACCTTTAGAAAGTGTGCCACCCCAGTGACAGTTTTGTACCTTTTCTTATAAAAGTGAACCTTGTTGTACAGCTACAAAGCCTCTGTGTTTATGTTGTGTAAAAGACCTGGGCCAGGGGTTTTAAAGGGCTGAATATCCTTAGGTCGGCCATAGACGGAGTACACAGGGGTTCCATCCCGACCCACCCTGGTGATGTTGGAGGGAACGAGGTATCCAGGACCTGGGGAAGAGTTGGCCTGTGAGTCACGATGACGTGTGCCGAAGCTGAACGCTGGGCCTTTCTGCATCTGCGGGTCATGGTTGTTCATTCCTGTGTAGGGCAAAGAAATCCCTCAAAGTCATGGCAGGGCAATAGCGTATCATTTTTTTAAAATAACACTTAGAAATTATTATTGGTCCTCCGAATTCCAGTTTTTACCCCACTTTTTAGCTCCTGATTTACTGGTTATATTTATTTTTGGGACAAATTTGTACCCAGAAGTGAGCTGAACCTTCTTTTTGAGAACGTCGTCATTTGTAACAGTATAAAAAAAGTAAATAAAAAAGTGTTTTAGAAACTGAAAAATGTAAAATGTTTTCTCTTAGGTTAGATTGTGGATTAGGTTATCGCATTTGTAACTAGCTGTATAAAAACAGTCAAATCTATGCAATGTACCCATTTCTCTGTGTGTGTGTGTGTGTGTGTGTGTACCAGTTGCCCCTGGCAGAGAATATGTTGGCCCTGGACTGTTATACATTGCAGCAATGGGGCCCCTTGCCCTGTGGGGCTTCCAAGGACCAACCCATACTTCCATAGGCATGATGTCTGTTGGAAAAAAAGAAATACTAAAACTGCTTGTAAACAAATAAATAAATACTTGTGTTAAATAAAAGTGTTAAATAAAACTAGATTGAAGAGTTTGTAGACAAACTTTCAGTTGGCTTGAAAAAGCCTTGCCAGAAAGTTTTAAAAAGTTATAAAAGCTTGCAGTCTGAAGGTTTTCAGTTTGAAGTAGTTTGAAATTTAACATAGTTTTAAAGATTAAAGTTTGAACGTTTTCAAGGCAATACAGTCTATCAGAAAAACATATATATGTAGGTATAAAACATTGCTAGGGTACCTGGGGTGGTTGCTAGGGTGTTTCTAGCATGACTAGCATGTTGCTAACATGTTTTAGCATGATTAGCATGTTGCTAGCATGATTAGCATGTTACTAGCATGTTGCGACCATGATTAGCAAGTTACTAACATGTTTCTAGCACGATTAGCATGTTGTTAACATGATTAGCATGTTACTAGCACATTGCTAGCATGATTAGCTAGTTATTAGCATGTTTCTAGCATGACTAGCATGTTGCTAACATGGTTAACATGTTATTAGCATTTTTGTAGCATGATTAGCATGTTACTAGCATGTTTCTAGCATGATTATCGTGTTGTTAACATGATTAGCATGTTATTAGCATGTTTCTAGCATTATTATCATGTTACTAGCATGTTGCTAGCATGATTAGCAAGTTTACTAACATGTTTCTAGCACGATTAGCATGTTGCTAACATGATTAGCATGTTACTAGCACACTGTTAGCATGATTAGCTAGTTATTAGCATGTTTCTAACATGACTAGCATGTTTTGCTAACATGGTTAACATGTTATTAGCATGTTTCTAGCATGATTAGCATGCTGCTAGTATGTTTTTAACATGATTTAACATTGTAAATGGAAAAAAAAATCCAGATAAAAACAAGGTAAAACCAGCTGATTCAATAAAAAAAACAGCTAGAGACCAGTTAAAATCAGCTAAAAGTTTAACATTGTAAATGGAAAAAAAAATCCAGATAAAAACAAGGTAAAACCAGCTGATTCAATAAAAAAAAACAGCTAGAGACCAGTTCTGCTAAATGACTAAATGTAAATGTAAATATTAGATAGCGTGGAAGCTTAAAATGAGTTTAAATGGGTTAGAAATAGTACATAGAAGGGAAGTTTGATTGAGCCTAATGGGCTTTAGTGTGTTTAGATTTAAAATTTTGACAGTTGGAGTTTGAATAGTCTTGGCTCATTTGAACAAATCTAAGTCTATGGGATTTTTATGATTTTTAATCTTCAATTTTAAGAAAACCGTATGTCCGATCAGTCTGAAAAGATATAGCAACCCGAGTCAGAACAGTCTGAACAGCTGGGCTGAGTAGCGTTCAGAAATTTAGTCTAAGAATAAGCCAGCTAAAACCAGCTGAACCAGTCAAAAACCATCTTAAAACCAGTCTAGGCTAGTTTTCTAGTCTTAGCTGGTTTAAGCTTAAAATAGTAGCTGTTTTAAACTTGGTTGGTCTTTTAGCAGGTCTCCCAGCTTGACCAGCTAAGACCAGCCTGACCAGCTAAAAAGGTGCCAAAACCACTTTAAAACCAGCCTGGAAGCAGCCAACCAGCTAGATAGATAGATAGATAGATCTTTCATTTATTATAATTAACAAAAGCAAAAAGACCTCTAACACTAGCTTGCTCTATTCTTTTTCTATTCCGATCAGTCTGAAAAGATATAGCAACCCGAGTCAGAACAGTCTGAACAGCTGGGCTGAGTAGCGTTCAGAAATTTAGTCTAAGAATAAGAAGAAGAAGCTTAAATAAAATATCAGTAAGTTGGCTTTTTCAAGCCTTTAGTCTAATTTAATTTTAATTTAATTTAAATAAAATTAGCATACAGCTCCGTAACTGGTTACTGTAACAAAAAGCATAAAAGTAAACAGCAAACGAAGTAAAAAATAGCAACTTACCTTAAGTGCAAGATATTAAAAAGTTCGTGAATTTAATAGACTTTCGATCTCCAGGCGAGTTTTGAAATAATTAATATATTATAACTTAAATTGTGTTCAGTGCGTTGATGATTTTTAGATGTAAGTTACACTTAAATAACTTAAAACGAAAAAACGATGCCAGTTACAATACAGTATCTGCACAAAAACGATGTTATTTACATAGAAAGGTAAAATAAAAAAAAGTTATAAATGTAGCTCGTGAA